TATTTGTTCTTCTGATCCTATTGTCAAGGGTGGTATGCATTTCCCTGTTCCATATGAGAAGACTGTAAAACAATTTACTTTGGCTTGGTATATTTTTTCTGTTCCAAAAGTATTTCCTTTCATTTAAGTTCAAAAATTCTTTACCGAATTTATGAAAATTTCAAAGACCCTTCGGAACAGGATACGACACTCTATGTACACCTGATAAATATTTATTATCCCTAGTGCTTATTGTTACAGGTTCAGTTAACAGGGATGTGCCCCTTCAGATCTTGGTACCCCCTACAAGGCTGGGAGCGGAGGAAGGGCTGGGGGTGACGGGCTCACACTATGGAGACAGTGGGGGGGTAGGGGAGTAACCTATCCTCTTTCTGAGGCCCACATCCAGTTTTAGATTCCAGTCTGAAAGGCTAAGGCTGGGACCCTGGGGTGGGGGACGTTTGAGGAAATAAGGCTACGAGCAGTACTCATTCTCTGTATCAAGTAGCCCTCAGCTGTCCGTGAGAGGCTGGGACACACTAGAATATGAGCAACACACTCAAATATTAACTCAGTTAATCCTCGTAACAAGTCTAGGTAGTAGCTACACTATTATTAACCTCATTTTACAGATAAGGCAACTGAGGTACAGAGAGGCTACATGACTTGTCCATACAACTAGTAAGTGGTAGAGCTGGATTCAAAACCAGGCAGCTGATTTCAGTGTCTGTTCTTCATCACTATCCACACTACCTCTCTGGGTTTATGTTCTTTTCCGAACTATTCAGGCATGGTGTCGAGCTAAAGAATTTTTTTTTTAATATCCTAAGCTGCCATTGTTAGTGACTAGTTAGGCTGAGAAACCTCCATTAATTTGGATCCACGTTAGATTCGCTAAGAGTCTTCATCTTGCCTACAGGTTTCTTCGCACCGACTGAAGATATGTGTTCTTTGCAGCCTGAGACGCGTCATATTCACCCAGTTCTCCGGAAGGAAGGTAAGTCCCTAGCACCACCCTGTGTGAAAGGAAAGGCTCCAAGCACTGTCCACTGTTGAGAAAGTGAGCGCAAGAAAAGCAATAAAGCCTAGAAAACTGGGCGACAGGCAAAATCTCAATTGCCTTTACCAGGCACGTGGTAGCCCCTTCTGCAAGACAGTGGCCCAGGATCATTTTTCTGGCTGCTAGGGCAGACAGTGTCCCGGGCCCAGGAGCTACCTGCCTCGTTGGCAGATAAGCCTCTGGTTTTCCATTTGAAAACCACAAATATTATCACTCAGAGGAATGTCTGAGGTCAGTCGCCTGAATCCTTTCCATTGACAGGTGAAGAAAACCGAGGTCAACTTTGGAGACCAGACACGTGTCATGCAGGGGAAAAAGAAACTGAGATGTTGGGGAGAATATGTGAGGATTTCTGCCCCATTTCAGAATGGAAGGCTCTTCTGTGTTTAGTTTTGATTTTCTCCGTTTTCCAAATCTCCTACAGTGTTGATTATATTAGTCCAAAACATAGTCACTGTTCACCTTTTCTCCAGGCTCCATGTGATTCCCAATATACCTAAAGGCTACACTAGCTTCAAGTCATCTTGAGGTCCCAAACATCCTTTTCTTCCCACTCACTCTCATTTATTTCAGACTATGAAGAGAGAGCCATCCCCACTAACTCACGTGAACCAAAAAAACACAGTTGTTCTGTAACCTTGCCCCATTTATAACACGAGCAAGCCTCTATTGGGTCAGCCCTATTCTTAGATCTTTACAGACATAACTCATTTAACGCTCACCACGATCCTGGGAGGCAGGCACTCTCATGATCCCCATTATAAAGATGAGGAAGCCAAGGCACAGAAAGGTATGGACATGTCCTAGGACCCACAGTCAGTAAACATTGTTAGGGACCAAGAAGTTCCACAATGACTGGGTTCCTGAAGACCTGCTTAGAAGTCACTTTGGGTCACACCCAGTACTGAGTCCCGTACTCTTCCAGGTTCCAAAGCATGGCGCTTGGGCTGCTCAAGAGGAGACCATGACTTTCCCACCTGCCAGCTGCTGTCCACTGTCCTTTCTCAGCTCTCAAAGGGCCTGCTCTAGCCTCACCCCCATGCCCCAGTCTGCTATGCTATTTCTAATACATTGTGTTGGGAGATCAAACCACTTGGCAACGGCATTCTGAATTTCCTAAAAGGCATAATCAGTGTCTATTAGCTTCATTTCTCTCTGACTTGTAGTTCCATCTTGAAAAACTAAATTAGAAAACATGGCAGAGAGATGCAGTGGGAGTTTGGGGGCACTCCACGGTCTGGAAAGGTCGTGGACTTGAGCAAAGCCTTGGCGGCAGCTGCAATCAGTCACCTGAGACTTTCCCCACTCCTTCCAGGCGTTTAGGTTCTAGGCAGTTACCAGGGGCAGGCCTGCGGGATCATCGAGGTGTTTGCCCACAGAATCTCATATTCACTCACTTGCCCACAGGCAGAAAGGACTGCGCCCTGCCTCTGCCAGGGAACATGCCTGGAGTCACATAAAACTGGCATCCGTAAAATTGAAAATTGGCATCCATAAAATTTTATGAAACCATAAAATTGGTTTCTTCGACGGAAGCAATTTTAAAATGTTTACCCAGAGAGTCCCCAGACTCAGGAAGCATTTCCACATGGCTCAGGACTCCATTTCCCCTCAAAAGCTGCTCAGTGAGAGTCCAATCCAACCTGCACGTTCGCTTTCCTTCACTGAAGAGGCTCAACTCCTCTGCTTACAAGAAGTGAGCGTCTGCCCCGAGCCGACTATACCCTTACCTGGTACACTTACATGCGCATCAGAACAAACACTTCTGAGATGGGACTAGGCCGCCAGCATGGCCTCATTTCTATGGCATGTTGACTTGGGGAAGGGAAGAGTGGGAGAAATAGAGCCCTGAACCAGGGGGAATGAGACCCATAGTTCTTCTAATCTCTCTTTTGACAAACCACTCTGTGTCCTTGAGCAAATCACTTAATCTCTGTCTCAGTTTCCTCATACCACCTGCCCTACCTTTATCCATGACCTGCTGGATTAAATAAGTTTGGCTTTTGGAAGCATTATGAAACACTACCTACCCCCAACAAGCTACGACAAATGTTCTCTGGGTCCTTCCCTTCTCGGTGGCCCGAGTCACCGAAAGTCTGTACTTACACTGACCGCTAAGCCATAAGGATGGGTCATTCACTTCAGAAGCAGCAGCTGAAGGGGCTTGTATCTAAAACTAGAAAACCATGATCAGGAAATAAGTCCCTTCTGGGGCTGGTGGAATAAGGTAACCCCTCCTTCACCCCCACCCCCTGCCCCCTGTTTCTTGGCCATTGCCTCTCTCGGAGATAAAAGAATGCTACTAGACTCTCTATGGGGTACCACCAGCAGGTCAGAGCATCCACACTCCGAGCCACTAATCCCTGCAAAAAAGACTCCCTTAACCCCACCACCTCCCTCCCTGACTGATACGCTGAAGGCAATAAGCCAAAGGTACTCTCACCCTCAGTAGACTTTTTCAGTACCCACTTAAAAGTTAGTCCTCCAACCTTAAGGATCTTTAAAGACTCCAAATATCAAGCTGCTAAGACACTAGACAAACACTGTAGCTCATCAAAGTTCTAATAGGCCACCTCCACATGCCATTTTGGTAAGAAGTTTTGGTAAGAACTTTTTGGTCCCCCTCATCAGAGAGGTTTGGCTTTTTGATTTTTTCAGTGTAAATTCCTTTGGGTTTTTTGTTGTTGTTGTTGTTGTAATTTTATTTATTTATTTATTTAGCTGCACCACACAGCATGTGGGATCTTAGTTCCCTGACCAGGAATTGAACCCGTGCCCCCTGCAGTGGAAGCGCACAGCCCTAACCACTGGACTGCCAGGGAATTCCTGTTGTAATTAAATGAACACTCGCAATCTTAAGTGGCAGACAGTCATCACATTTTCCAGAAGGAGAAATAGAAACAGCAGGGAGTCAAGTCACTTTGCCCAGAGTTTGCTGTTTTTCACAGCCTCAACAATGAGGAGCTTTGCTTCGGTGACTCAAGACAAAACATATGTCCAAGGCTCTGAATCCAGAATTATTGGAAATCTGGAGGGGGAGCCAGCTGAGGTCCTCACTCAGCTGAACCTGGCCATGTCAGTAAATGCCTCTACGCTGCAGTTTTCCCATCTGTGAACTCTGGGCTAATGGAGAAACCAAAAGAGGCTGAGGCTTTGGCCAATCCACAAAGACTACACTACAACTCAAGGGATGAAATGCAACTTCTAAGAGTCACAAAAAGCAGGCAAAGCTAAGTGAAGATGCTTCTTTCTCTCTCCTCTCTAGAATTCACATCTTCCCACAAATAAAGCCCCTTAAAACTCATAATACTCTACAATGTTCCTGACTATGGGGATTGACAGCAATCCGTCCCAAGTTCCCAGGAGAGGCATGTTTCTGGGCAATGAGCCCTGCACAACTACCTCCAGCCTTGTTATCCTTGGGTCCACTGACAACTCTTCAAAAAATTGCCATCTTCCTACCAGCCAAAGGGCTGAAACAGAGGCCACAGATTACAGGCGAGAATGGTCCAACAGGCAAAATTTAACCAATGCTCCCAGAAACTTTTGGGCACCGTTGGTGGAGAAAATTGGGTGAGGATATTGGGGCGTGGTTGGAACGTTTTCCCTAGTGTGGGCAGCCAGAGAGTGTAAGGAGTAAAGTACAGGTGAGACCGCTGCCTCTTCCCTAACACACTCCCACCTAATGGTAGGACTGGTTCTTCCTAAAAGATGCAGTACCGATCCTTGAGAATGTCAGGTGTGCCCCCCGCTGAGGTCTGCAAAGGTGTGGTCAATATGCAAAGCCTCCAGACGTTATTTTGATATTTAAAAAATGTTAAGAGCCACGAGCAGCCAATTAAGAATGAACTCTTAGGAGTATATGAGGGTGTACGAGTATGAACTAGAGTGCATTAGAGAGCTGGAGTCTCCCACTGAGCACTCGGCGAGGTGTTGACTGGCGGGGAAGGGAGGACGTTACCTGGCCAGGTCGAGGAATGAGTCAACTGTCTCTTTGGGGACCGGTGGGGGCCCCGTCTCCTCCAGACCCAGGTCGCTGGACTGAAGGGTCTGCGCGCCAGATCCAGGCTTGATGATGAACGCCAAAGCGACTGCGAGAGCCGAGGCGCCTAGTGTGGTGAGGCCGAAGTAGGCTATGGCGATGCCGCCCAGGCGCCCGAGAGAGCTGGCATCAAGGGAGGCGGCGCCCGATACCAGGCTGCAGACCACCAGCGGCAGGATGATCATGCGCAGCATGCGGAGCAGCATCTCTCCAGGAAAGGCCAGGTAGATGACCTGTGTGCGGTTCAGCTTGAGCCCACGCAGCGCCGCGCCCAGGCCGGCGCCCGCCACCACTCCGGACACTGTGAGCAGCACCAGCGCGTGGCGCCGTAGGAAGCCAGCGCAGCGCCGCGCGCGTCCGGCCGTGCTCCCCCGCGCGCCAGGCCCCGCTGCAGGCCCCGCCTGGGCGCTGTCTAGGTAGCCGTTGGTCTCGTTGCTCTTCTCCATGGCGCTACCCGCGGCTCCGAGCTGGAGGAGGCAGGGGACTGAGGCTCCGGGAAAATACGCGGCTCTCAATGAATGGATCAGGCGGAGCTGCCGAGGTCCGCTAGCTGTGCCTAGCGGGTTCTGGGAGCTAGCCCGCGGGGCTCTCCCGGTCTTGGCCCTGGAGCAGGTGCGGGGAGGGCCAGGAGAGACGCGGGAGAGCGGGCTGGAGCCCCGGGGTGAGTGGATCGCGCCGCGCCCAGTCCTGCACGGCGTCTCCGGTCCGAAGATGATGTAATGAGGGAGCTCGCAGTTGCGGAGGAGAGGGGGAGCTCTGAGCGACCTGGGCCGGCCCCCTGCACACCCACCGCCCCGCCCCCTCGGCTCTGGCCAATCAGCGCCCGAGAGTCTCCTCCGCGAGCCCCTCGCCCGGCTCCTGGCCACCGGCGCGGGGGGAGGGGCGGCCCGGCCCCGGACGCCTACTGAGGCTGCTGGGGTGCGGGTGTAGCCGGCCAGTCCCGGCGCCCGCAGCCTAGGAGGCCCCGCTAACCGAGGCCCGCTCCCGGCGACCGCGGGGGTGGCGGGGCCTGAGGGACAGCCAGGGCTCGTTGGCACCTGCCGGGGCCGCTCGGGCCGGCCGGGGTCTGGGCCCTCGGGGTCAGAGGGTCGGGGAGAATGTGGAACGCGGTGACGTTCCTTGTCCTGGGGGTTGGGGGAGGGGAGGGGTTGCCAACAAGGTTGGTGCTGTCGCCCCCGCGCGGCCCGTTTTCCGCCGGAGAGCCCGCCCGCCTCTCCTAGGAAGGGTCCTCGCGTGAGGGGATCCTGGGCGCGCTCCTAGGCGCGTGGCTTGGGGCCGCCGGGATAGGCCCTGGGTCGCCAGACAGCTGTCAGCGGTATGTGAGCTGAAGACCAAAACTTCGAGAAGAAACAGAGCTCTACCACCACCACTTCCAGTCGCGTTTCTACTTTGTAACCTCAGCTGAAACACACAAGCCACTGAGTTTTAACCTTTTCCATCCCCTGGGCCCCAGCCATCGTATGAAAATAGTGCAGACAGCAGTTTAGCCAGGCTGAACAGATGGTTCCTTAGAAAATTCCCTGATGGTCCAGTGGTTAGGACTCCGAGCTTTCACTGCTGAGGGCTTGGGTTTGGTCGGGGAGCTAAGATCCCACAAGCCGCGTGTCTTGGCCAAAAAAAGAAAAAAAAAAGTTCCTTAATGTTCACATTAGATTCGTTTACTTTTTATTTCAAATTGTATTTATTTTAACATCTGTTCTGGTCACAGCAGATATGAGAGAAACCTCTGCAGAGTCGTTTTACTGTCACATTTATTAGATTTTCATATTTTTTTCATTCTGCTTTTGAAAGGAATTGTTCTTTTAAGACTTTTGTGAAAGGGAAAGCTTCTTATGTGTGGCCAACCGGAATTAAGGAGGAAGATAATTTACTATAGATCTCTTGCTGAAAAGGAGTCATCTTAAAACATGCCAGCACAGATATTTATGCAAATCAATACGCCTTAGTAAAGAACTTTAAGGAGATGTCCACATTTTGAGACAGTGAGGATTTCATAGCTTGAAGCCAGCCAGCCAGCTGCTGACTGGAGTTTGTAGGGTTTTTTTTGAGGGAGGGGGTACAAATCAGGTGAAGAGCTTACATATTTTTATCTGGTTTTGCAGAGCAAAAGTTTATTTCTGTGTGCACTGAAGAAAGAGGAATTTCTACAGACACACTCTGTGTTTTGCCAACCAGCCCCTCCCTTCATTTTGACTACCACTTTTATGCAAAGGATTTGCCATTTCCAACTGCCTGCTTTACATCTCCACCTGGGTATCCTGCAGGCGTCGCAACTCAACATGTGCAAGACTGAACTCCTGGGGGCCTTCCTCATGCCTGCTCATCCTGCTGATTCCCCTATTTTTGTTACCAGCATCATTGACTTCCCAGTCAACTCTGCTTGAAACCTCAGAATGACCTTTGATTCTTCCTGGTGTCTCCTCTCACCTGACCAATTCCCAAGTCCCACAGACACTCCTTGTGCAATATTTATCCCATACTCCCCTCCCATCCGTTCCCAAAGCTGCCATACTGGCTCAGTTCTTATTTCCACACTTCTTACCTCAACTGTCAAGATCTTCCCACCTCCAGTGCTCATCCTATATTTTGCCTTGCCCCAGGCCTATCTTCCTAATGAATAATATGCTTGTTAGGATTAGGTTGGGCTTCCATCCAGCAGGAAAAAAAAAAAGGCGCAATGCCTTCTCCCTTTGAGAACACTTCTTAAAAGTGGCACACACTATTTCCTTTCTATTTCATTCACCAGATTTCAGTCACATGACCACACCTAGCTGCAAGAGAAGTTAGGAAAGCTAATCTTAATTTGCACAGGCATGAACCCGGTTAAAAACTGGGGCTTCTGTTACCACAGAAGTAGGAAAGAATGATATTGGAGGACAGCTTCAGATCACTTCTTTTTTTAAAAAATTAATTAATTAATTAATTAATTTTTGGCTGTGTTGGGTCTTTGTTGATTGGCTCGGGCTTTCTTTAGTTGCTGTGAGCGGGGGCTACTGTTTGTCGCGGTGCACGGGCTTCTCATTGCGGTGGCTTCTCTTGTTGCGGAGCTCGGGCTCTAGGTGCATGGGCTTCAGTAGTTGTGGCTCGCAGCCTTTAGTAGTTGTGCCTCGCGGGCTCTAGAGCGCAGGCTCAGTAGTTGTGGCGCACGGGCTTAGTTGCTCTGCGGCATGTGGGATCTTCCAGCACCAGGGCTCGAACCTGTGTCCCCTGCACTGGCAAGCGGATTCTCAACCACTGCGCCACCAGGGAAGCCCCAGATTACTTCTTGTTCAAAAGTTCTCAGGGTTCCCACTGAACTAAAAATATGCTCTTCAACCTGGCATTCAAGATTTACCATGATCAGCTCACTCTCCAGCCTTGTGCCCTCTATACATGCAACAAAAATGAGACTGTGCTGCTTCCACATTTTCTGGCCTCTGCATCCAGTTCCAGTTCAGATACTACTTCTCTCCCAAAGCCTTTCTTAACGCCTCTTTGCTCTAACTCTGCCTGCTGCCCATAGCTTTTTGGGCTGGTCCCACACACTTCACAGCTGCGTTAATAGTTAACCCTCAACTGGGAGTAGGGAACTCCCTGCACTGCTGGTGCTTTCATTGGCTATAAGTATGGTGCTGAGTGGGAGAGCAGTGTTTGGAGGTGCCTTATGCCATGCCAGATGCATCTGTCATTGAATTAGCAAAACCTCTCCTTAAGGAGGAACTGGTCTCTTGGGACTTCTTTCAGGGACTGGCTGCCCTGTAGCAGTTCCGCCTACATATGAGGCAAACCAAGAAACAGGTGTCGGCTCCTGGCCTCCCCAACAGCTGGTAAAGGGTTTCATTTTCTGCCTTCTTTTTCTCTTTCTTTTTTTTAATCCCTCTCCTTTTGTTCTATTACATTTTCTTTGTCTTTTCATAATTTTACATGCCTCCTGCTTGTAGGGATTTAGTATCAATAAATCATATAAACTGACAAATAATATTTATATTATTAATAGAAACATTATTTATAACATAATAAATAAAATAAATAATTATTGATTCCTATATTTAGACACCTTCCCCCACTACACTCACAAGTGTTCTCTCTGGGTTCTAGATGTATAAGTACCAAATTACAGAAATACCTTAAAACTGGGCCAGTCTGACACCACTCACTATCACCACCACCATCATCTGATGCTTGAATCTCTCAATAGGTTGGAGTACTGTTCAGCGAGTATCTCCTTTCTTCTTCCTCCCATTTGGATGGGCGTGTACTTACCCCTTTGACTTTGAGCTTGACCATGTGACCTACCTGGCCAATAAAATAAGCAGAGGAGTAAAATGTTTTTGCAGAGTTGCACTTGGATTCCTGAATATCCGTCACCCAGCGTGCCCCAGATAGATGCTCCACCTTCATCCTGGCACCAGAACAGAGAGGAGTGTGTCTCAGACCAGCCCACAGAGGTTTGCCTTGCCCAGCCCCCTCACAGCCCAGACAACGCACAGCCCCATGAGTCAGAAAAACAAATACTGTTGTTGAAACCCACTGAGTTTTGGAGTCATGCATTATTGTGGCAATAGCCAAGTAATACAAGTCCTCTCTTCGACATCTATCCCAGTTATCTATTACCATAACAAACCACTCCAAATGTCGTGGCATAAAATAACAACCAGTTTCTTATGATCATATATATATTTTAAATTTAATTAATTAATTAATTAATTATTTTTTGGGTGTATTGGGTCTTCGTTGCTACGTGCAGGCTTTCTCTAGTTGCGGTGAGCGGGGCCTACTCTTTGTTGCGGTGCGCGGGCTTCTCGTTGCAGTGTCTTCTCTTGTTGCGGAGCACGGGCTCTGGGCGCGCGAGCTTCAGTAGTTGTGGCTTGCGGTCTCTAGAGCGCAGGCTCAGTAGTTGTGGCGCATGGGCTTAGTTGCTCTGTAGCATGTGGGATCTTCCTGGACCAGGGCTTGAACCCACGTCCCCTGCATTGGCAGGTGGATCCCTAACCACTGTGCCACCAGGGAAGCCCTGTGATCGTAATTTTGTAGGCCAGAAATTCAGAGAGAACACAGCAGAGGTTCCCATCTCTGCTGCATGCTGCCTGCAGCCCAGCTGGGGTGGCTTAATGCCTGGAGGTGCCTGGGATGGCTCAGCTGGGGCCATATTCACTGTGATCCTTGGTTCTTTTACACATTGCAACTAATGAGGCTGGACTGTCCAAAATGACTCATTCACACTCCTGACACCTAGGCTAGTGTGGTTAGAACAGCTGGGGCTGGCTGGATATCTCATTCATCGTGAAGAAGAATCAGTTTCCCTCATTAAAGCAATGATATGGATTTTTTACTTACGCGGTGATAAGAATGGTGTTTTTCCTACTTTGTCAAAGTGACTGTTTATCACTCCCAATATACTCGTGTATCGATGGATATTATACATGAAACCGAGCAGGACCCTGTGAGGCTCCTGGGCAAAAAAGCCTTTCTGTGTCCCCCATTTCTTGATAACAGGAAATAGGCTTCCTTCAGCCTCCATGACCTTCCCTGTGTTCCAACGGGCAGGTTTAAACAGTTGCTAATTAGGTAAGGGAGGGGATGTGGAGACAAGGCAGGAATAGTCAAGAAACTATAGAGTAGCCTTGGGGCAGGGTCCCGGTTCCCCCTCAAGGGATACACATAACAATATCTTTGAGCTGCTTTACAGATACTGAAACCTCCACCAGGCGGGAAAAGTTAACAGTATGCTGCCCACAAGCAGGTAGACTCCAGACCAGTTGGAACCAGAAGGTTGATGTTGGCTGACTCCCACTTACCTCACCACCAACCAATCAGAATGTCCACGAGCTGATCACGCCCTCTTTGAGCCATTACTATAAAACTCCTCACTACCCCCTCCAGGTCAGGACTCAGAGTTTTGAGGGCGTTAGCCTGCTGCGGCCCCCTTTGCCTGGCAAAGTAATAAACCTATTCTTTTCTACTTCACCCAAAACTCTGTCTCCAAGATTTAACTCAGTGTCGGGGTACAGAGGCTGGATTCGGCATCATACACACATGCTGGCTTCTTCTGGTAAAGAGATTATCTCTGTTCTAACTTTATATCTGATGACAGTTTCGTATTTTCCACATTATTTCACTAGAATTGCTAGTGGCATCAAGCATCTGGCAGGAATTATTTTCTGCCAATGAATGAGCTAAAAAAGGAAAATTGCATCCTTCATCACAGGCAAATTTGGATTCTAGAGTGCTTCTTTACCTTCACTAAGAGACACCAGATATTTTAACTAACAACTATATTAAAAAGGTTAAACTTCAGCTTAACTCTTTCCATGTTAGCAAAACACAGCTTTGCAGAAAATGCAATGTGATTTTCAAAAAAAGAATATTTGCTTTTCACATAGATTACCTAGCAGAGCAAGCAAGGTGAAATTCCAAAATAATAAACAGGTTCTTTTTCTCCCATGATGGACAACTTAGTTCAAAGTGGCATACTGGAATCAAAGTGTGGGTGACTTTACAATCTGTAATCCTCTGGGCTCCCCTCCACATCATCTCTACCCACCAAAAAGAAAAAAGAAAAAAGGGGCCATAAAGATGTCACTAGAACCGAAAGGTCAGGCACAGACTCAGATAAACAATTTGAGTCAACACTAAAAGGGAATTTGGTCAGAGTGGGAGTAAAAGGCAGGGTGAGGCAGAAATAAGATGCCTGTTTCTATGGTTTTAGAGAAAAGCTAAGGCTCTGTGAAGGACATTTTCTACTGAGAGAATTGGTCAAATAGGAGCATTGAAAGAGATGAGTTAAAAGACGGGAAGAAAAGTTCTTTTGCTGTCTGTTTTGTGGGCAAGGGTTCTAAGCATAGAGGTTTATTTCAATGACACAACCAGAGGCTTACTGAGTTGCTTACTAAGAGTAAATCACCCTGAAAGGCCCTTAGAATGAAATACAAAAAAAGGGAGTATGGACTACTTAGGGAGCTGACTAAAATGCACATTCCTGAGCCCAGAGGAGGGCCTAGAAATCTGCATTTCAACAAGCCAATCCTTCCCTCCCACATCCCCCTACCCCCACCCCAGATTATTCAATTCAAAAGTATTTACAAGGTCATTGAATTAACAGAATTTGGAATAAAGAGAAGTCCAAGATAAAGTCTAGGACTGGGCCTTCAAAACCTGCCACTCAAGTTCTTCTGAGTATAATGTTAAGGGGTAAGAAGCAGGTGGGATTAGAGGGGAGGGGCAATGGTTAGGGTACAATTAGAATGAGTTATAGTTCTCCCAGCAATTTATTACTCCTGGCACAAGAATTCCCTGAAATCTGTTTGGGAAAACAGCCATAGACACGTGAAAAGATAATTAACCTTCCAGGTAGAACTCAGTGATCCCCAAACGTGACTCTCATCAGAGTCATCAGAAACAGTTTTAAAAGGATAGATTCCTGGGCTCCAACCCTGGAAATTCTGTTTTTTGTAGCTCTAGGGTAAGACCCAGGCATCTATTTTTTATTCTTCCTGTTAATAGATTAATGAGATATAACAACTAAATGCAATGGGATCTGGATTAAAAGATAATTTTCAGACAGTTAGGCAAATTTCATGTAAACTGTATGTTGAACTTAATGTTGAGTTTGTCAGGTGTGACAACAGTGTTCTCAATACTAGGACAATGGCCTCCTTCTTGGGAAAGGATGGAGAATTATTTAGGGGTGAAGTGCCAGGGTGCCTGCCCACCACTCTTGGATGGCTTGGTAGAGGGGAAACGTGTACATAAAGAGAGAATGTATCGATAGTGTGGGAGGCAAGAGGTTAACAGCTGGTAAAACTAGGTGAGGAGCATATGGGTGCTCTCTGTTTTGTTCCTGAAACTTTTCTGTAGGCTCAAATTTTTTTCAAATTTACGAAACGTTAATTTTTTTTTTTTTTTGCAAGAGAGAATAAACAACGGAAAGGAAAGCCTCCATCCTTCACTTTGTTGCACAACAGATTGAGCAACCTTAGTAGGAAGGCATGGGTTACAGGGGCTTGGAGCAGAGAGGTCACTGTGGGCTAGCACTGTGGTTCTCCACTCATTCTCTGCGGCCACATACATGACAAGTGATGTTTATACACAATGCCCACAGCCACAGGTGCACCTCGACTTTGATGTAGTTCCTGGCTACCAACTTGTAACACAACAGATTTTCCTACTTAAGAAAGAATGCAAGTAAGTGATATTATCCTAGGGATAATTTTGAATTACTCAAATTTATTTTAAAAATAATGTCTGAACTTCTCTACTTTTGTGTGGAAGGTGTTTGAAAATTCAATAAATCACTCTGAAGTACAAAGAAAATGTAGGTTATTTGCTATCTATAACTGATCTAATCTTTGTCATGGCCAGTCACAGCATTGGGTCATTGCAGGGAGGAGAAAATGGCTTTAACTTGACAATGAATGTAATGGAAATCTTAACCAGTTTAAATAGCCTTGTGTGGATAACTCAGAGTCTTTTGGTAAATACTCAGAAATTTCAGGCTTCCTTTCTACCTGTAAGTGACTCTACCATGATGTGATTATTTTAAGAGGGGTTACAATTTAAAAAAAAAACTGAAAAGTGTACTTCATTAATAAGAAAAATGCATGGACACTGTGGTAGATTACAAAAATAGTCCCATTCTTCACCTCTCCTTGTATCCCGACCCTTTGTCACGTTACTTTTCAGGGTCGTACAACTCCATCTGGGCTCAACTACATGATTTTCTTTAACCAGTGGGTATAGCTGACCCTAGGCAAGCACAGATTTGAAATAGGTTTATACACTGGGCTTTTCTCTTGTGCCTGTGCCCTTGCCATCAGAACACACCTGGGCTAGCCTGCTGGAGGATGAGAGATGTGTGGAGTCCAGCTGAGTCCCAAGTCATCATAGGGCAGGTCATCCTAGATCAACTACCAGCCCGTCAACCCCGGATATGGGAGCAAGCCCAGCCAAGGTCAGCAGAGCCGTCTGGTTAGCAGCCCCGAACCCTGCCCCCAGAAGCACAAACAATAAACTCCTACTGTTGTGTGCCATGGGGGTTTTGTGGTTCTTTGTTACTATGTTACTCCAAGTCCTCTAAGAAGCATATGCCAAGCTAGGATAAAATGTACAAGGATTTTATTGTGGAGACACTTCTGAGAGAAAGTAGAGAGGGAGCGGAACTAGCAGAGCTGTCAGAGGGCAATGCAAGTCTGACCCCAAGTGAAGGAAAGAGGGAAGGAAGGTTGGGTGGAAACATCCTAGCCTGTCGTGCAGCCAAGAAAGGTCAGCAAGGCTACCAGGGAACCTCAAGGCAAAGTCAGCTGTCAGAGGAGTCTCAAGCCTTCCAGGAACAGGTTGGCCTTAGTATCCCACTGTGCCCAGCCATTGGCTGGAGAAACCTGTGGGACACATGGCCTTGGCATA